CATGGATGCTTCCGCCAATCGAATCGAATCGTAGTGAGGTTGGAAACACACAAAGATTGGGAACTATATAATGTAACGGGGAAAAGGGTTATTAACCCTACCTAGACCGGGCTTTTTTTGACATGGGGGGACCGGGGGGGGGGCTCTTTTGACCCCCCCCTAAGAACTCGCGAACGGTATGTCGTATGACCACCAAATTTTCAGAGAATGGTGTACTAGTAAAAATTCATCATATCTACAATTTTTATGTCGTTATGACGTAATATGACGTCATTATGACGTCATTAATGTGATTTTATTGGCCAAAACCGTCTAAATAGGTTTTTCCCTGAAAACTTCCCTGGTATACAACATAACTTTACCAAAAGTGTTTATGACAGAATATTAGTGTGTACTAAGTCTTATGTTGCCCATAGCAACACCGGTGACGTCAAAAAATGACGTCATGCATATTTAAGATATCCGCTATCTTGGATCATCAATCTTGAATTTTCAAAAATAGTTTTTTAGCCTAAAATATATTGTAAACATACTAAACACCTTCATTCAAACCTTTTTTGTAAAAAGAAATTGAAGTATTGATGAAATTTTAATGAAAATAACCCATATATACCTGTTCTAATGACATGGTCCGCCATCTTGGATTTTGGCCAATGACGTCATCAAATTAGCATAAATTATGCATATTTAATGATAAAATTTACATAAAATCATATGGGATGTTATTAATATTAGAAACCATGAGTAACTTGACATAAAACACATAAAATTCTATTGTTGAAACAAAAAGTACTAAATTTAGCAAAAAATGCCTGTCAGAAACCCGTTGCCATAGCAACACAAAAAACTATTATCTTATTCCAATGATAAAGAATTGTTGCCAACAATATTCTAGGAAAAGTCACCAAGTTTGGCCGTTCTACGGCTAGCCGTTCAGACGCTAGGTGACATCAAAGTTGCCGCGGGCACTTTTAGCCCCCCCCCCGGTCTAGGTAGGGTTAAAAAAGGAAACTTAAGGCACATATCTGTTAATTTTTCAGCCATCGATTCTAACTGCACAACAAAACAATACGTATGAATTTCGCTATCTTGCGCGTTTATGATAACAATATGGTATTGATTAAATGTTACTAGTATTCAAAAAGACCTGGTAGCGTGAGTAATTCGGGTCCGCTCTCCGACCAGATGTAATGGCTCTTCCAGGTGACCTCACCCAAGTTACAGCATCATCTGGGGACAAGTCATGGAAGCTGCAGTGGAGTGTAGCTGTATGGCCAAGTAGCACAGCGGTCGGCAATGGAACCGCATTGTAATTGATACCACTAGCTGTAAAGCAAGCACCGCGTTTAGTGCATATGTTAGCTTGCACAGTATGACTTGCGTAGGCAAAGGACTGATATAGATAATAATCCTTAACAAGGAACTTTACCTAGAACTATTAATAATACCAAGGGCAATTATTGCTTCGACTCTTAATGTTATCCACCTTACCGATATAAAAAGTGGAGAATATTAACATTTTATCGTAGCAAAGATTCCAGATCACAATAGCAAACACAGCAGAAAAACATCTGGTAAATGTCAGTGATACAACACCATTTAGATAGTATATTACTATCTATAGCCTTATTAGAGTGCCAAGGACACGGGATCTTCCCCATTTACGCCCCAATTGCTACACTTTAAAAGCAATCAGTACCTGGGCACCGTGTAAGACTCGATCGTTAGCAGCTTCTATATCTATCTAGCTCAAGGTTGAATCTAGCAATAATGCTGTTTCGGCTACTTGAGAGGCTTTGACGCCAGCGGATGGCATGACAGCTTCAATAAGTATCAAGTATACCGTCTACTGACATTTGCGTCTGAAGAAGGGCATATGAAAATATGTTTGTGTGTCTCGTTTGAAACCTGACATTTTTTGAGGAAACGATAAATCTAAATCATTTGAATGTCATATTTCAGATTTACATGTTGCCTTTAAACCCTGCGAATGAAATGCCTTAATTTAAATAACATTTGTTTGACAAGCTAAATCAGATTTCACTTTACCTATTTTAAATCTAAATTATAAATGTTATCCTTTGTTCTTGTCTTGTTCTTCTGTTGGCTCTTTTAGCTGTATCAGTCACCTTGTTTCAATACGTTTACGATATGCGTGATTGATGGTGGTATTGGGCTATCGTTTCTATTATGTACATTTTGTCCTCAGAGATTACATAACCAAATCCCTGCATATATAGAGTGACCTGAGGCTTGATTTGCTTTTATGCATACCCGCAGATAGGTTCCGGTGGAGTACTTAGTAAGACTCGAAAGAAATGTTATATCGACCACAGAGTAGGCATTGAATTAACAGTCCCATTTTCCCATCATTGGACAGTTATATAAGCCTACATTTGGGGAGATAAAAATGTGTCTCTTTGTTAAAACATCAATCGCAGTCTAGGTCCATAGAGTTAGATAAGACGAATGAGGAGGTTTATCAGCTTGTAGTATTATCGCACAACAGCTGCTTCTTGATACGCTATGTGTGTGGTCTGATAGGAAAATGTTTTCATCGTTTGTGATGTTAAATATCCCTGATCGCCACGAAAATACTTGAGCATGTACGTGTTTTCTATTAAAAGTACATGTTAAAATTTAAGTCATGTATAAGAAGACATTCACTACTGGAAATATACGCCGACTCGTTACAACTAACTTCGTGCTTAACGTCTTAACACCGAAGAGGAATACTAATGGCGTTATTGAGACCAGTCTCATTTGATTATAGTAACGGTGAGGTCAATTGAAGACTGGCGGTCCTTGTAGATGAGCTGATATATTGTTATAAGGGGCCGACTCAATGATGATAATCGTACAGTGTTGCTGTATATCTTATAATGGATCGGCTTGTAACAGGAGTGATAACAGAGGTCCCGTAATATCTCTTAGTAACATTCCCACTGACCGGGTCTTTTCATGCTCAGTAACCTGTTCCATGTTACCGTCACGCCAATTTTCGTCCTGAAGGTATCATGGCCAATGACTAAGTTCACAGGTAAGACTGCATCGAGTTTAACAGGGTCGGTGGTAGAAAATGAAACATTATTTCTTATATCTTATATAAGAGATTTAAATGATATTGAGATTTAAACAAATAACCATGTATCCACAAATTACATATATAGCATTTTACGCTATAGTCAATAGGTAATGGTCATTTTAAGAGCAGATATTGTATCATTTGTGCGCTAGTGCTTCTACTTTTGATTTAACCGTATGTTGTATGCACTGTATCCATGTTCTGCTTTTGATAAAGAAAACATCAGTCTGCAATGTGCCTTGGGCATGCATGTAATCATGTGTTTATGAAATGATCTTTGACATTTGTAATGTAGCTGATATATAAATATCAGCAAATTATGATAAAGTAAAGTTAATAAAAACAAACTTAAATATAGGATGAACAGTAATGACTTTGGTTGACAGTCATTAAGTTATATATTATCTTAAATAAAATTTACCATTCAATTGCATATTCAACAATAGTGACATAGCCAGTGTTATGTGCATAATAATTAATGACAGTTTATAATTATTCAACCCACATGTTATAATCATAAAGTATTTCTGATCCTACGAAAGTATGCCTTTGGCGTCAACAAGAACGTCACCGTTGTGGTAAGGACGCCCTCTACAGTTTCTGATCGGTTATGCCATATCTAGGTATCACAATTATGCAAAGGGTTTGATAACAGCGATAGGAGAGCTTAATTGCAACACAGCAGGTCTTAAGAAATAAAACGACGTCCTGCTGAATTTTCCTGTAGGAGAACAACTCAATTTCTTGCCATAACTATGTTGGTTTAAAGACAAAACAAGACTAAATAGCCAACAGAACGTTGCCTCCACACTGATACCCTGTACAGACAGTATCATACGACTGTTCTCCCTGTAATGAAAATATTGATTAGCAGCACCTACCTTGATGAAGAAGGGTGAATAGTCCAGCTACAGAAATCATACAGACGCTTGAATAGCCAAACATCTTGTCTATTTTTACGTCCAGCAACTTGGTAGCAAAATGGTGCGTCGACGCCCAGATCAGTCTAGATGCCGCGACTGACAAAAACACCATATGGGGAAAACTGAATCGTCTCTGGGCGTATAAATATGGTATTTCGAGAAGCAAAAAGGCATGAGTGCGTCTCGTCTGGCATTTCACAGTCTGATTCAGGGTGTATCAGTGCGCACACACCCATAGACCCAGGCCCTAAATGAAAGCCTTCTACGGCCCTCGGGGAAAGCTGAACACATTAGTTCGGCTGGAGGAATCCAAGTAATGTGTTCCAATTACATTATGTCATCCATAATGCATAGCCTAAGTCACTTAGTAATGATTTGGTGCACAACTTCCAGGGAGAATGAGATCATGAACTTGCAGAAGCCTGCATATGTATCTGAGAAAGCAATTTTAATTCTTGTCGAGATAGGCAGGCGATTAATGTTGTTTAGATGCATGAAATCATCGAAAACCTGTCACCTTATTTCAAGAAAGAAAACGATTGCTAAAGGTTTCTCTTATGTGCAAACAATAGGAAATGATTTTTTCTTGTAGATCATTTAGTATTTCTTTGTAGATGCCAGCAGGAGAAGGACTGGAATTGTTTTAATTAACAATTAAGTTCTTTGAAATTAGATTGTTGCATTTACGGTTAGTAGTCGATATTTTAATGTTACTGTCAGTGAGGCCACTTGCGATGACAACTTGTACTGCAGCTAAAGCGTGTTATTATGGGTTCACCACACCACGAAGTGGTGTGGTGAAACCATATTGCTTTTTCTGGTGTTTCTTCTTCTTCTTCTCCTCCTCCTCCTTCTCCTCCTGCCATTTTTTAAATGGATTCAGCTTCTTCATTTTAGGGCCCAAGGTCCTGAAATTTGGTATGGAGGTACAGTGGGCAAATACCCCTAGGCGTTTTTAAATTTTTGTGATACGGGCTTTTAGAATGGTTTTATTTGAGTTTTTTGGCTGTGTTATAGCTAATGTATTACTCGTGTTACCGTGTGCACTGTTTACCACGTTTGGGTATGAGTCATCACAATGGAATGCAGGG